GAGCGTGAAAGTATGCTCTTGAATTCAAAAAGAAGGTTTGAATGTGCAGCAGCGACAATGGTTCCTTTCCTCATGTCGACCGATGTAGAAGTGATGTTTTCAACGACTCCACCAGCCTCCTTTACAATCAAAATACCCGCCGCTATATCCCACGAATGAATGCCAATCTCGTAATAGATGTCACCAGCACCCTCGGCAATCTTAGTGAGATTCATTGCTGCGCTTCCAAAGCTCCTTATCCCATGAACGGGAATTTGAATTAGCGAATGCATTATGGACGTAATGCATGCCTTATACTCGGGCACATAGCCCATCATTGGAAGATTCCATTCAGTAACAACAAGACAGTCAGACATGCGTTTTTCAGAATTGCTCATGTGTGAATAAAGCGGCAGCCTTTGCGGTGTGGAGCTTTCGTTCTCATCAACCAGATATGCCCCTTTTCCTTTGACCGAATAATACAACTAAACATTCGAATTAAATTTAGTACTTTCTTCAGCGTCGGATGATAGATAATTCCAATGAGCGGGTCAGGACACTCGCCAGCCATTTTAGGAACCTCAACAAGCGCCAGCGAGACGCAACTATGGGACAAAAGACCATGTAAGAAATTAATGGTCCCATCAATGGGGTCAAGTACCCAATAATAGCATGGTCCATTTTGATTGCAGGAAACATTATTTGTGGGCACTTGAATGCCCTCTTCGCCTAGAAAACTTTATGGTCAAAAATAATGATACAATATGTGGGGAAATGCGAGAGACAGTTTTGACGCGATTTCCCTCTCAATAGCAATATCTCTCTCCGTTACCAGATCCGTTGGAGAATTGTTTTTTTTGGAAACTTTGAAAGTGTCTTGAGTTGTGGAATCCCTTTTTTTATGGCAGAAATTTTGGGTTGAAACATCTTTTACAATCAAAATAACTTGCTCCAAAATAGAGTCAACATCAAGGAGCGCCATATCCATCAAGCCTACAACGCGAAAATAAAATAATTTGATGCGTCATAAAAATTGATTCCACTGATTTCCGAATTTACGATTGCAATTCCAATCGATCGATGGTTGGCGGTTTAAATGGCCGCAGCCCCATTTGCTATAATAGCGTGCAATGCTGCGCCAATTTGATATTTATTGATTTATTGATTTTTCGGACATATCAAGTACGATTGCTATAAATGGTGGAAATGCAGTCTTGCTTACCTTTGAAAGACAATGGACCCGAGCGGTGCAGCCATGCAAATGCCCACGAACAAAATCACCTTTAAAGCCAAAGTTCGAGGGTTGGAAATGCTAAAAGGAAAAACCTACAATAAAAATGGCAAAAAACATCTTGGGGACCGTTAACTTCAAAGTGGTAAACATCTGGATTGTGTTCAGCATGTCCATGATGATCATCATTTGCGTGTGTTTCCTTGGTAGGGATGAAGGGACGAGAATTTTCTACAGAATAGGTTTGATCGTTGTTTTCAAAGATGCCAGCTAAGTGACCTGCACGGCTGTTCAGGCCATACATGGCAATAAGAGATGTCGTCTTTTTGTGGGCACAATTATACAAGATTGGATTGTTTATCAGCAGCAGCCCCGATCGGCGACGAATGATTGAGGGCGCAACAGACGCAATCATCGCGACAATACGAATTGAAAATTGGTTCAAATTTTATTTCCAACATTTATTGTTGTGACATTCAATTCATTATTCTCAATGCGCTATTCTCGATCTGCTATTCTCAACTGGCCATCATCAAGCTGCGTCCGCTTTTTCATTTAAAAGGGCTACAATCTTCTCTTCAAACGTCATTGGCTCTTCATTGGGACCAAATCTTTTGACGGGAATCCCATATCGATTGACAAGAAACTACAATTAATGGGCCGAAAGCTACCTTGGTAAAATTCCACTTGATCGCATTGCCTAGCGTTCCTGGGCAAGCTTTTTTCAAGTACGAAAATAAGGGATGTGCTTCGCTTCCATTAACTTTGATCGGATGAAACATTACAAGCTTTGTTGAGAATCCGGACGAAAAATCTCTAATCTGGCATGTGGTTCCGGATTCTAATTTTGACTTCAACATGTACCTTGCTTTGCGAACTAAAGTTGACCATGTGATCAAATTACCTGATTGCACGGGAAAAGAAGCACTTTTAGGCCTTGCGAATCGTACTTTTCAGCCAACTTGCCCAATTGCTCATAATTATTGGGAGTATATCCACAATGAGAGGCAACATTGACCACCAGTAGGACCTTGGGGTAAAACAAAAAATGCCACCTTATCCTTGAACTCCGAGAGAGATATAATGCGATCCTTTTCCAGGCTTTCAGCTTCAAACTGGTATATCTAAAATTACGGGATAAGCATTGCCTTTTCGGCGGACATTTGATGGGCAAATCTTCTGATTTGTTTACCAAGACGATTATTAAATAAGACTTGCATCAACAATTTAATTTACTTTTTAAACTTTTTTCTGCAAACTTGGCCATTAGAGTTTTACCCCGCCTGTGCAGAGCGTGTACATACTTTTGCGGCCGCTTTCCACAATGGCTTTGCTTTAAAATTAAATAAAGCTGAACAAATGTGGACGCCACGCACGCTCCTGTTTTGAAGCTGCTTTTGGCCGTTTTATGGGCGGTGAAAAATTGAATAGAAACCTCGGATGACGGCGGTCCAAGTTTAGTCGGCGGTTTAATAATATGTTATCGGGGGCATGTTGTAGGACGGCTGGGTCATAATCAGATTTACTTCGCATCCGAAATCCATCAGCTGTAAATGTGCATCTGCACCCTCTGTTATGTTTCTCGACACGCTAAGCAGCTTCAGGGCCACCATTGACTTTACAATGGATGACAGGGCAGGGTCGTTAGAGATGTCCTCCTCCATCTACATGCATAAAGGTTGGTTCGCTCCATACTTGGATCAGAAATTGGCTTGCAGAATATCCGGATCTCATGAACGAATCCAAGAAACTGCCAATGGCTTCAGGGCCAGATTGCACTGCAGAGCGAAACCCATCTATCACTTTGCTCGGAAGCACCTACAGAGAAGGAATAAATTGCGTGCAATACTCCTGTCATTTCTTTTAGGCTTTCAATGGCAATGCCATTGGTCCCGATGAACCTCTTGATATTTTGAAGATAATTGATCGCTTTACGAAGATCGCCGAAACTCCTGTCAATAAGAAATTCCAGGCCCTAGCTCGTCAGAAACGATCAAACCTCATCGGCACACTGTATGTTTTCTTCGTTGCAAATAAATTGAAGACGCTTAACAGCGGACGCCTTGTCAATTGCCTTGAACCTAAATTTGGCACATCTTGAAATCAAAGGCTCGATAATCCTAATGAAAGTCCGAAAATTAGCTTACTTGTGCACGTAATTACAAAGGATGCAAAACCGCGTTGTCGAAGAATAAGCCTCAATAATTCGCCTCAATGCTGCCTGGGCATCATACGTCATACAATCGGCCTCGTCCAAAATGATCAGCTTGAAAAAGGGCGGAGAATTGATGAGCGTTTTTGCAAACGACTTGATTTTCTCTCTTACCACGCCGATTCCACGCTCGTCAGAGGCGTTCAGTTCAAGTATCCGTTGGCGATAAGCATTCTCTCTAAAGATAAATCATAAGGAGCGCCACCCAAATAACTCCCTTGCCAGAGCAAGTACAGTCGATGTTTTTCCTGTCCCGGGAGGGCCATACAACAAAAGATGTGGAAGCTATGCATCAGCAAAAATGGAGTGTCGTACATCTCCGGAAACAATTGATCTCCTCAATAACGCAACTACCTCCTCCTGTGATGCGATTTCGCCAAGCGACTTTGGACGGCTAATAATCTCGTTAAGCATTAAAAATACTATTTTTCCACCCATTGACGAGTGGAGGAAGTGTGGCTGACTGATGGCGACGGGGGCCGACTTTCGCTGGTTGAGCTCATGATTGAAAATTTGCGTTTTGACGGAAATTTAATTTTTTTAATTCCAAACATGCATTTTTCTAATGAAGACGATCCGTTGGCATCGTCGACTTTCCGGCGCTCCCAGCGCAAAATGGCATCGCAAATAGAAAAGTTGGAGCGAGAAAGCGTGGCAAAAAAGTCCTGGACACTTCTTGGGGAGGCAAGTTCCAAGCAAAGGAGCCAAAACTCGCTTCTTGAAAATTTTGTTGAATATGAATCCAACGCCAAGGTAATTATTTGTACTTCTTTCCATGTAGCCTGTATTGGAGGTTACTCAAGAAGTCACCGATTCGATTGAACAGATTGTTAGAAAGAGGATTATGGATTGCGTTTGGGACGACCCATCGCCACCGTCCTTTGTCAACCACGTTCCAAGGCCCAAACAAGACCTTCCTGAGGTTTCGACCGAAAAGTCTACAGCGTCCTTGTCCAAGCTTTATGAAAATGATTATCTGGAAAAGAAGGAAAGCCAAAGGCCGCTGTCCACTTCAAAAATTACTCCGGAAATCGCATCTCTATGGGACCAAGTATCGCAAGCGTTGGACACACTTTCTGGATTCCAATTTGCCTCTGCCATGGATTCCGTGCACTCAATATCATCGCAAGCACAACTACCGTCTTTTTCGACAAATGAAATTGAAAAGGGAGCCGCAATTCACGCTGCCTCATTGGCTGTAAGCGGCGCGTCGTCACATACGCCAGAAGAAATAAAAAGGCCCTTGCGTACTCCTTTGAAATCTGAGCTTGAGCGAGACAGTTCTAAAACCGAGCACCAGCGGGCCAAACGGCTGCGGAAGATCAAAGGATCTAAAAGGCCACATGCCTCCTCTTCTCTGCTCAATACGCTCTCCAAGCAAAAGGTACCAATTTTTTCGTGATTTTATTTTAGAATGTCAAAGTTCATGCAAGTGCGATAAAAGGCAAATCAAAGGCTCGCAGCGCCAACCGATAAACCAATGTTGATATTTTAATAAATTAATTGGAATCAAATACACTCGTCAAAAAGGGCCATCCATTTCCGGCAACACCATAAATTACCAACGGCAACACCAGTTTATTGTTTAGCCCATCCCTTCTATTAGTGGATCGATGGGATGAAACTATTAACCACAAGCCTATTGTGCACATGCTATTAGCGATCGGCATAAAAACTTATTCAAGCCAAAGAATATTCAACGCCTTGCTCATAGATGCCTTCCAATCAAACCGGGGCAACACAAGTGGGGGTGTGTCCGAAATGGGAGCGCTAGATTTCTTTTTTTTGGAAAGCCACCTAGAAAGCATCTCCAACGGGGTATTCGATATCGCGTATCTTTTAAGAAGCATTTGTTTGTCCGAAAGCGCATCCTGTATATTGTGCCATGCGATATCCTATACATTACTACAAAAATACCAAACCCAAATCTCGTTTTTTGTTTGCCAGCCAAAAGCGGTGTCCTCTGAGACCCCGCAAATTATATACAGCCGATTGATGCGTTCATTTGGACCCTTCCATTCAAGAAATGGGGTGTCACTGCCAATATCTGCGAATTTAAAGCACCGACGCACCTCCACAATTGTAGCCTGTCTCTTCATATAATTCTCGAGTCGCACAGTGTGCCATAGACTCGCCCTCACTTAGTTTTCCCTTGGGAAAGGCCCATGTATCTCTTGACCGATGCCCCCTTACCATCAAGCACTTTGCATTAAAAAAAAATATACCTTTGTTAAGGACGGGTTGAGAAGGATCACACCAGCAACGGGGACCGATCTTTTATGTGCAGAGAAAAATTCTATCAATTGCGGTATCTCTGCAACCAAATGCGAAAGGGCAGGGTCTCTGTTTAGCATTTGACGGCAGAATTTCGGAAACTTCATCGAGGGGTAGACGTCAGCCTTTTCTGAGCTTGTTCGAAGATGGTCATCATAGAACCAGTGAGCAGCCTCCAAGTGAAAAAGCAGCCGATCAGCGGCCAATTTGTCGGCCTCTGGAAGGTTCACAATAAACCGACTAAACATCAGCACATCAAAACAAACCAACAAATGTCATCCAATGCATTGTCTATCGAACATGGAAATGTGGCCAATGATGACGATGGCGCTGAAGCTGACAAAGAGGGCGCTAATACGGCTGATGATGGCACTGAAGACGAAAAAGAGGGCAGTGATACTGCTGATGATGGCGGCATAGCCAAATAATAAAATTTAAAAATACGAACTTTTCAATGAATTCTACCATGTGGATCGGAAATTCAAATTGTTCGTCCTCTTACTCGGACCCGGCAGGTTTCCTTATCGAAAGAATTTCAACATACATTGGCGACAAGATAAAAGCAGATGGTCTTTCGCGAAAGATTTTCAACAGCTGTCAAATTATCACCAAAGTCCTCAATACATACGGGTAAGCAAGTTTTTTAAGCAGCCTTAGCATCGGATCAATTGCCTTGAGTTTCAATGGCGGAAAAGATTGCACTGCACTTCTGGTCCACCTTCTTGCCTGCATTGGTGGTAGGAGTCCCCTCCCACTTTTGTATCTCCACAATGATGATCAATTTGAGGAGGAGTGGGAATTTTCTTGCGCCTTGACATCAATGTAGGAGGATACGAAACTTTTATTGAAATGTAGGATTGGAGCAGACAAGGTGCAACTGCATCGACTTGAATGCACAGATTTAAAGGATGGGCTTTCCAGCTTTCTTCAAAAATATCCCAACATCTCTGTGCTCTTCCTAGGTGTCCGATGTACAGATCCACACTCCAGTATGGATAGTATACCCTGACAGGCCAGATGAGCTAAAACCGATCCAAATGACGGACCCCGGATGGCCCCAAGTCCTGCGCGTCCACCCACTTCTCGACTGGACATATTCTGAGATCTGGCTCTTTCTAAGGACGCTTTCGATTCCTTACTGCACGCTGTATGACCAGGGGTACGTAATGAACAAGTTAACTTAAATGCAGATACACCTCCATAGGGGGGAAAGAAAAAACAAAACCTAACCCGGCTTTACGGTGCACCCGTGAACAAGGTAAATACAAACCGGCATACGACCTTTTGGACGATTCTTTGGAAAGGGCAGGCCGGAGCTAACGCCGATTGGAAAGTTTTATTTTCAGTATAAATTTATTGTTTGGCGGTTTAGCGATACTACAGCATAAAAACGTAACAAAGGTACCTTCATGAAGCCAATATCACTCGAATACTGACGGAAGCATTGGCGGCAAAGGTTAAGCCCATACTTGCGGATGAGACCGTCTTTGTTGGTGCAAACTCGGCTACATAAGTTAGTAATTGGGTCCATGGGGTAGCCGAAACATAGGCAACATCGTACACAATGCCAAAAGATGGCCATGTTGTTGCATGGGATATCAAAAAGGTTGGGACACTTACCACTCGCGGGATCCTTTTCCAAACGTACGGGGGCGGGAATGAAAGACTGATTCGTGAGACATACTGTGATTTAGAAAAATTACAGGCACAAAACCCTTGTTGCAAATTGCGATTAAATTCCGAGTTTATAAATTAAATTTTAAGAACCCTGAGAACGTTGGTGGACCCGGAAACTTGTTCAATGATGCCAGAGGTGACCACAGAAATATCGCCCTTGATGACCATCTTTGAGGAGATAGCATGGTCCATTGCGTTTTTTACAATGGAATCGGTTCCGTGCATCGTTAAAACAAGCAAGGGGTATATACCGCGAAGGACCTGCATTTGACGAGCGACTTGTGGATCAGCGGTCACACCAAAGACTGGGGGAATCGGGCGGTACTTGTTGACGGCAAGTGCTGTAGCTCCTGTCTCTGTAAGGGCAATAATTAAGGGCGCCTGGATATCCCAGGCAGTCTTCACTGCGCTTGATGCAATGGCCTCCGAAACCGAAATGGGGATTTTGGTATTCTTCTTGATGGCTCCATAAACCTCAGCATAGTTGATATCGGCCTCGGCCTCACGGCAAATTCTCGCCATAATTGTGACGGCCTCAATTGGATATGCTCCCTTGGCAGTTTCTCCAGAAAGCATAACACAATCAGAGCCATCGAGGACAGCATTGGCAACATCGGTGGCCTCTGCTCGTGTTGGCCTTGGATTAACAATCATCGATTCGAGCATTTGTGTTGCCGTAATGCAGGGCTTGCCGACAGCATTGCATTTTTTGATCATCATTTTTTGGGCACGGAAGACCTGCTCCACTGGGATTTCAACGCCAAGATCGCCCCGGGCCACCATGATACCATCAGAAGCAGCGAGAATTTCGTCAAAATTTTCCAAGCCCTCTTCGTTTTCGATCTTTGAAATGATGCGAATGTTGGAGCTTCCAAGTAGCTTTCTAATCTCCACCACATCGGATGCCTTGCGAATAAAGGAGGCCGCAACGAAATCGACTCCCTGAGCAATGCCAAAATGTAGATCTTGGATATCTTTTTCGGTGAGCGCGGGAAGCGCGACCTTGATTTTGGGAAGATTGACACCCTTGACTTCGCCGAGAAGCCCGTCATTAAGGATCCTGGTCTTAACAAAGCCTGGTCCGGTCTCAACTACCTCACAGGCAATCAGTCCATCGTCAACCAGGATAAGGTCTCCGGCCTTGACAGAGGAATCAAGAGAAGAATATGAGACGGAGACACAGGTCTCATCACCCAGAATGGAATAGTCTGTGTAGAAGGTGAAGCTGGAGTTTTTCTTCAGCTTGATCTCCTTGCCATTTTGGAGCTTGCTAGTGCGGATCTCTGGACCCTTGGTGTCTAGCATGATGGCCACGGTTGGTGGATTTTCACATTGAGAAAGATAAGTGCGCAAGTTGGCAATAGTCTGCGCGTGATACTCATGAGAGCCATGGGAGAAGTTTAATCTCATCACATTCATACCTGCATCGATGAGCTTACCAAGCATTTCAACAGACTGGGTCTTTGGCCCAATCGTGCACACGATTTTGGTTTTGATGTGGATTTGACGGTCGTTAACGAGGGAGATGGAAGCAGTCGACATTTATTTGCAAAGAAAAGACAAAACCCCTGTTTGCACTTTTATTATTTTTTGCAAGTAAAGTTTCAACTCTTGTCCAATAAAATGAAAGCAATTTACATGTCTTAGTCAATGAATAAAATTTTTGTCAATGTGGCCAGTATGGTCGATGTAATTTGAATTTTACAACGGGTGAAATTTAAAGTGTACAGGGGAAATGCAAGAATCATGCATGTTAAAAGCCCACAATTGATTGGCCATCCATACTGGCTGCCAGGAGCCCCATCATGCTTAATACGAGTGCCCGTCAAATTCAGCTAGGGGCTCATTAGATCGAATATACCTCTTCAACTTTAGATCAATGCTGGCGTGGAAACAAAAATAATGCCTTGTACATGTCGCTAATGGTTGGCGTTTACGGGCATGTAAAAACAAGGCCTTACCAACGGTTAGCACATAATTTGATGTATGGGATTTAAATGACAACTTACATGGTGTCATTTGAGACAGGAATTTTAATTTTTTAATCATGAAATTTAATCTCTGCCAGACCTGTCTTTCCATCATCACTTCCCAAAATCTTGCTATTGAAAATGAATCCTATTGTGTAATTAACTTAAACGATCCAACAGGGCACATATGCTTTCTATGTTGTAATAGTGCATCCTCTTCATTTCAGACAGCCTTCTCTTCCGTTTGTATCTCTCAGCTATTAAAAGAGTATGGATTGATACTGCCTACATTTTCGATTTCCATATTTCTCCCGCTCTGCTTTCCCTTTCGAGCATTGCAAATTCTCAGATCAATTATAAGGTAGCATTTTTAAATTGGCCAACTGTAGAGAAAACGACAGGGAAAAATATCTTTTCCTTTTAGATGGAATTAGCCGCTCATTCAAGCAGGCCTTCCGGTCTTTATTTGCAGCTTCCCTTGAAAAGGCAGAAAATTTTCAAATGAAGCAAGATCAGTCGGTACGCTGTAGTTTATAAAAGTAGAGTCCTTTTAAGATTGAGGTGAGACTGATGAGTGTGGAGGCTTCACTTTTGATACTGGAGAGGCCTCTTACCTGCATTTCCCTTTGTGAAAGGCCAAAGAAATATCAAATGAAATCCAATTTGGTAAAATGCTGCTTTTTATTCCATAGAAAAAGCTATGGATCGCCAATCCGGCCAGCGTGGCTGAATTTACCCTTTCAATGCAAGAAAATAGAGAAATAATCGAAGTTTCCATGTCCGAGCCCATTTTAACGTTCTACCATGCCCCAATGTACGTCGCTGGTAGGTATACAAAATCACAAAGGAATATTGCGCAGTCGCCATGGATCAACAAATCCTTGCAATCCGTATCCGGATATATTGATGCCATTGTGACGAAGCACTTTCAGGCAGATGGGTGCAAATTCTGCTCTGCTGGAAGAGAGGATATTGACGTAAAGATGTTAGGCGAAGGGCGGCCATTTTTGCTGGAGATCTGCAATCCAAGGCGCTATCTTTTGCTTCGGGCACATGCCCAGTCCGGGGCCTCTTTGCCCCCGCAAAATTCGCCTCTTGATGTCCTTAGAAAGCTTCTAGACACCATTTGCAGCGAAGTTCTACAAGCATCTTTGGGTTCTGTATCAATTATACCAAGACTCTGGCTTGTTCGTGGCACAGCCTCTGCACAGCTTATCAAAGTTGGAGAAGTGCACCGGCCAAAGCTTTACAAAGCCACGATTTCCTCAAAAGTTCCTCTTGTGGGATGTAGAAACTTTAAAACGCTTTCCATTAACCAGAAAACCCCGATTCGCGTTCTCCATCGAAGGGCGAATCTCAACCGCAGTAAGATGATTTATGAGTGCGAGCTTTCTCCTTTTCCAGAGGATGGCTCGTTTGTAGAAGTGACCATTAGAGCCCAGGCGGGAACGTATCGATTTTCATCCTCATCGTAGATATATTAAGGAATTCGTCCATGGAGATTTTGGGCGCACCAGCCCCAGTCTTGGTGACCTCTTATTTGGGGTTTCCGACGCCTGCGAGCTTCTTGAACTGGACGTGCTGCAAGTGGAAATGCCAGAATGGCCTCCCAACGAGGACATCTTAATTTAATTTAATAAAATAAACCATGAAGCCTAGCGTCCCAAAGCCTGCGGGACTGTCCTCAATCATACCTATGGGCTTTACTTCTGGTTCGATGTCGAGATTTTGCTTATCTTCAGACTCGCCGCAAAAGCTGCCGTCACCACAGAAAATGCCAGCAAACAACCATTGGAATACGGCATTAATGGCGTATGTCCTTGATGAAGAGGGCCATCGTGAAGAAATCATCAAGTCCACGCCGCTTGCGCTTATCATCATGGACAAGTACCCAAAGGTAACAGCATCTCTTATTGCATAGTCATCCATTCATTGGTTGGTGCTTCCAAAAGCATCCGAAATCGATTCTATCCGGGATTTACGGCGCGAACACATCCCACTGCTGCAACACATGCAAGAGCTTGCAAGGTCGGAGCTTAAAGAGCGGCATCCAAACTTAGATATGGACTCTGTGCTCTACGGATTCCATTCAATACCATCGATGAGGTAGATACGGCAAAGAGCGATAATCCCTAGGCTCCTACACATGCACGCTCTTAGTAACGATTTTATCTCTGATTGTCTAAAGAAAAGGGAACACTGGAATTCGTTCAACACAAGCTTTTTCCTTTCTGTGGAAACGATTTTGGCAAAACTGGGCACCACTGGAATGCTGGGCGATATTGATGAGGCCAAAATGTATTCCCTGCTAAAACTGCCGCTAAAATGCAGTTTCTGTTCGCTGAATTTTACATCGATGCCGTCGTTTAAGGCTCATATTTATGAACACAGAGCAAAATAGGCTGAAAAATAAATTTCACACCGCTAGCTACATAGCAAGCAGGGCAGCATTTTCAAATCCAGAATTTGGAAGGTTCGCCGCCCCGGCAAAGAAACCGTTAACGTTTAATGATAATAACGCATCTAAGAACGAGTCAGGTCTGCCAACTCTGGCGTGGTCTCCACGTCTGCATGTGGGGATGGCATAGGTTGGCTGGCCTCTCGGCATGCGTTTTCCTCCCTTAAATACCTTGGTTTTCTCAATGTAAAGCTTTTAAAAAAGGCCCTTGGGATGCAGATTTTCGGAAAGGGGCGCGGTTGGGAAGGATCATAAGGCTGTTTTGGCTGCATCATCTTTGGCGCATCTGTGTTCCAAATCCGTTTTGCCTCAGACAGGCGCTCTGTGTCTGAGGCCTCCCTCAAGTCGCCATTGATGTCTCGTACAAGCATTAGCCGATCCTATTGAAAAGTGAAATCGGATTTTCATACCCTTGGATTTTGACAATGCCCAATATCTACGATCAAGAATGGCACCCTGGACCGCTCGCAGGGGTCATTCCTAATCAATTTCTGGGACTGTGGCACGTCTTTGTCGGGTTTCACCAGTGGACGTGTGGAGAGATAGTCGCGTGCGACAACAACGTCATACTCCAAAATGGCGCCTGCTTGTTCCGGAGTCAGCTCCTTTGACTCGTGGATTTTGACAAACGTGGGCTTTAGCCATTGATTTGGTTTCTTTAATATAGAATCGATGCGATAGGAAAAGATTTCTCCCTCCTTGATGTCTATTTGACTGCCTGACGAAGAAAGTCTCTGAGAAAACGGAAGATAGTCATTAACATTGACCCCAACGGCCATCTCCATGCGGGCGACATATTCCTTGTCGATTTCAAAATTTCTTGCCACCATTTCGTCCTGCAGCATCTTCATCCGCAAAATCGCCTCTATTCGCTCAATGGATAGGCAAAAGGCCCGAGAAAGACGGCGAACGGTCCAATATAGCGGACTTTCTTTATACGTTCCAAATATCAGATTCTTCATGTTATCCGAGATAGGAACGGTATTTTTAAACTCCTGATTGTATGGGAATGGCTATGGATTAGGGTAAAGGTAAGGGCATCTTGAACATACCGATGTTGGACCAAAGAATATGGGGCCTACGGGATTCTCCTTTGCGTATTTGTGCACGATGGGAATCCACGCCTTTAAGTTTGAAAAGAGCTCTTTTCTTTTTATGGAATTTGGATGTTCCGTAAGGCGTAGGCCATTTTGCACACGAGGAACATCCGATGGATATCGAGCCCTGCTGGAGTAGCCAGCACGGGCAGCCTTGACACAATTGCCAGCCATTGAGAAAGGTATTTTTAAAGCAAATAAAATAATAAAATAAATAAGTTGTTGATATTTATTTCAAAAGAGCTTCTTTTGGAAACTTTCTTTTGCCCTATTAATAGTCAATTGGGGATGCCAAACACTTACTTTTAAAATACGTACAGCCTCCTGGGCATCCAACACACGCCAGCCATTTTGCTCCAGGCATTGCAGCGCAAAGGGGATGGTGAGCTTGACGGTTTTCGAAAACTCGGTTACAATTGCCTTTTTCATGGGGGTCAAGTGGCTCAATTCACACGGCTCCATTGCCTGATCTGTCGATGGCATGGCCGGCGAAACGGAGTCAACGTATCTTGTCAAATACCAATCGTCAAATAGGATGGAAAAGTTGAATGGCGATCCCGTCATGGTGTGACCAGGTATGATTATGAGGTTCCTGACAAAGGTTCTTGGAATCAACTCGGTACCTTGGCAGTTATGAAAGCATACACGAACCTTCACAGAAAAGACCGGAAAAAAAAACTTGAATCACAGGAATCTCGCCGCCCTCCGGAATAAACAGAGGTCGCCCATTGAAGGCAATTACCGATAGAGATTCCATGAGATGTTTTATAGGTGAGAGCTGGGAAAGAAATTCGGAAATGTTTGAAGGCGATTTCTGAAAAGTCACCGGGTCTGGCTTTCCAGCCTCTCCGTGACCAAGAAGAAACAGATCTTTCTTTTGGGACGATGTTAACAATGACTTTTGGATGTGCGCCCAAATTGCCCCGACAGTGGCAAGATCTGGAGGTGGCCTACAAATACCTGAAATCGCGCTTTCCGAAAAAAGCATCGGATAAAAGGATATTCTTGCCTCAGAATGGTTCGAATATAACGATTTTAGAGACGTTCTATCATGTGAGTCGAGCCCTGTGATAAGGGCTTGCAGGAAGGGGGAAAGAATTTCCTGCAAGCCTACATCGAAAGAAGAGGGGAGCGGCATTTTCATATTAACAGATTGTCTAATCACGTCCAGCGAAACACCATCTAAAATTGATAGTTTGGGAAACTTCAATGCGAAAGAGAAGAAGATCAGGACAATTGGGGTTGGTGGGAAAATCACATCCACCGAAGATGCCTTGATTGCTGGATTTCCGGACACCAAAAGCTCGGCAAGCTTACACTCCGAATTGGAGTATAAAAGGGACACGAACTCCCTAACTTCGTCGATCGAGCTAAGCTCGTTGTCGGAGAGGCTCAACGATTGGATTTTCGCAAACAACGACACAAAATTGGCCGGGTTATTGGGTCCTTTGGAGATATTTCTGTTGGCCCTTTTGGATTTGCCATACTCGTCTTTTTTTATAAGGTTGCTTATCGGGGATAGGCTTTTCAAAGCATTGCTTGCCAAATTTATGGACGTCACATTTGGAAGATGTTCATATATTGAAGAAAAAATCAAGGACGTCCAATAGTCGACGGCAAAGGAAATTTTGGCAGCCATTGGGCGTTTTGCAGGCGGCAGTTGCGAGACAACTGTGGCCAACTCTTTATCATTACAAATTCCAGAGAGGTTCAGATAACCTGCACCCTGATCGTATCTGGCGAGCAGCCAGCACTTTACAATGTTATTAAGCTCAAATTTAAAAGGCATTGGTGGCGTCTGCAAAGAGGCAGTGCAAAAAGCGCCCTGTTGTGCGTCAAAAGACGGCGTCGCCATGTCCATTTGAATGTCTGTAATTAAAGTAATCGATAGCTAGGGTTAACGATACAAGTTCCCACCTTTTGCCGGTAAAAGATGATTCCAGATAGCTCAACCACGGCAAGTGCCATTGATTTTGTGGCAAAAAGCAATTTACACTTCCCACACTCGGGGCTCCACGATTCGACATTTGAAATTTTTACAGGTCTAGGTGCATGTTTTTGCAGGAAGCGGATCAGCGTATCGACAGATCCCACCTCGGACGATATATTTGCAATCTAGGAAGAATTGTGGATAGATATTGGCAGCCTACCTCCACCATTGTCGGCTTGGGTGGTTGGAATGAACGCTCCCTGTCTCCCTCATACTGGGCTCTATGGGGACGGGACATTACTGGCAAATAAATTGTAAATTTTTGAAATTTTTGAAATTTCAAAAATTTACTCGCCAATTAAGTTTAAAATTTTGTACAAACTATAAATAAATGGAAGAGAAGTCATGTTGGATTTGCTTTCTTTCCTCCTCCGAGGACCCTGCCAGCTGTTCAGATGCTAAATGGGTGCACCCGTGCAAGTGTAGTGGATCTACGCAATGGGTGCACGAGGATTGCCTTTTAAGGTGGCTTAAATCCAGCTCCCGCTCAGGAAATAATCTGTTTAGATATGGCAACAGGCGCTCATCTGATTCCGTCTCGATCACCCCATCGTCCACAACGGCTTCCTCAAGCGGGCAGCGCTCTTTTTTCTATAGGCTGCTCGAGGACGTCAAGATGGCGCTGTCGAGAATCTGGCCTGGCTCTCTTGGCCGGGTTGTAACGATCTCATCCAAGCTGGCGTGTCCGCAGTGCAAAACGCCATATCTTATCATTCAGAACGAAAATAGCTGGGTGCTAACTTTTCTGGAAAAGATAAACTATTTTGGCTCCAAAACGCTGACCATGTTTGTGTATTGTTCTCTTGCCGTTGGCGGGTTTTCGATCCTTTGGGTTCACGGGACATTTTCGCTGCTGTTTATGTATGGCATTGAGGATTACACACGGATGTTTTCCGAAATCATACTAAATGAAGAGTCCTTGTCAGAGGAGAATGTCATCAGCACACTTTCTGCGCTTGTCAACTACATCACGTTTACCCTGGTCGCGGTTCCTATGATCCCGCTGTTTCTGATTGTCTCTGTGCTTCCTATTTCTTCCGTCAGACACGCCATCTCTGTGATTTTGATGGGAAAGCTCTACATGTTTACTAATGTCGATGGGAGTTCCACGGATGATTACCAGCTCCAACCACTGTCGTGGCTCATTCCTGCCGTTTATGTGACATACTCCGTTGCGAGAGACTTTCTTTTCAAAAAGTTGGGCATTTCAAAGAAAATTGCCGAGCGGCAACTTGCGGCCACATCTGATGCCATACACGATGCAGGGGAGGATGAAGGCTCGATCGTTGCCGCTGTTATTTTGGAGTCAGACGACGATAGCTCTTCTGATGGCGAGCTGGAGCAGGAACAACACCGTCTTCAAACAGACCCCTCGCTCGTGGAAGAACCAACACAACAGGGCCCCATTCCGGACTCTCCTGTTCAAACTACAGTCAGAACGATTGCTACAATACGAGCCAGCATTACTCCGATCATTTCCTCGCTGTTTATGCCGTTTCTCGTTCCTTTTATCAGGGTATTCTTTGCATCGATGGGTGGACGTTTTTTTCCCGTCTCGTCGCTTCCAATTATCTATAAAAACCTAATTGCAGCGTCGGCTTTAATTGTTGTGAAGGACTTTTTCCAAATAACCTACCACATTGAACGAGATCGCTTGGAAAAGTCAAGATCAGTTCTAAATTATAACCTTTCTGAAAATATTTGATCGGCAGCCTTTTCAGCAATAAATACATTTGCGAGGTTGACAAAATAAATAGCTTACGCCAGCCAATAGTGGTGGTGCTTCCCGAATGTATCGACCAAAAGCAGCAAAATGTACAATGTCGGCACACCACTGGATGGCCGCTACACCCCATGCAGAGAGACTATTAAGTTGGGTAATTTGGCGGTCCGGTTTTAACCGCATCGTATGATAAAGTGATCCCGGCAAACGCATGCAAAGTTGACGCACAACCGCTTTTTGGAAAATCGGCACACCAAAGATTGCCATCAATCACGTCGTTTCCGATTTAAATCGATCAGCACAACGTTGCTTAATTTCCAAATTGGGCATTTAAGGTTTCCACTCTTTATGGGACACATTCGGCATACAGTCTTTGATGGCTTTGATGAGTGGAGTGTTTGCAACAAGGGCCGTTATTAGAAACATGTCCAGCACCAAAGTATATCGGTCCTTTACGGATCTGCTTGGACTAAATAAGCTTTTCTTGTCAGACATCGGTCCAAATTCGTTCGTCCAAAAAGCATTGGGAAATTGCAAAGAACAACAAATTCTGCAAAGTTTGGGCTGCAACTCACTGGAAGAGCTAACAAAGAAATCGTTGCCCCTTCTTTCCAAATATGATATGATCAATGATGTTGACCTTCAGGCCTCGCTGTCAAAGTTGGCTCTTGATAGCGGAAGTTCGGAGCATTTTTTGTTGTCCAAGGTAATTCCGAGAATCTTGGAGCTGAACAGAGACCCGGAAAGCTATAGCCTATTTCTTGGACAGGGCTATTATGGGACTGTTCTTCCACAGGTGATCAAGCGAAACCTGGTTGAAAACCCACAGTGGTATACATCCTATACTCCTTATCAGGCGGAAATCAGTCAAGGCCGTTTGCAAGCCCTGTTTCTATACCAGCATCTAATTACCGAGTTGACGGGCATGGATATTGCAAATGCAAGCTTGTTGGATGAGCCCAGTGCCGCGGTAGAGGCGATTTCGGTTTCACTGGCACTTGGGCGTCGGAGGAAAATCTGGGCGTGTAAAAATATTTTTGCACAAACCAAGCGCGTGTTAATTGGCAAGGCATCGATTTTTGACGCCGAAATTGTTTTTGGCAGTGTTGATTGTGCGGGAAATCTGTTTCCGCCATTGGATGATTCCTACTCCTGTGTGTTTCTGTAATCGCCAAATATCTTTGGATCCCTTCAATGCCACATGAGTGTCATTGCTGAAGCGTGCCACCGTTTCGGGGTAGTTTTGATTTTTGCTGTTGACCTGTTGTCGCTTACCCTTTCAATGCCCCCACATATGGCAGACATTGTGGTTGGATCTTCGCAGCGCTTAGGAATGCCGCTAGGATATGGCGGCCCCGGCGCTGCGTTTATCGCTTGCAAGATGAAGTATGCCCGGAAATTGCCGGGAAGAATCGTGGGAGAATCGATCGATTCGCAGGGAAGAAAGGCATACCGGCTATCTCTCCAGACGCGAGAACAGCATATTAGGAAAGAGAAGGCAACTTCCAACATTTGCACAGCCCAAGTTTTACCGGCCCTGGTGGCTACCTTTTACTCCATATATCATGGACCCGAGGGCCTGGTCGCTATTGCATGTCGAATACGGTTTTTCGCTCACAAGTTATGGCAGACGCTTTCTTCGTTCGGATATTCCTTTTTTGACGAGGATTTTTTTGACACCTTGGCACTCAAAATATCAAATGCATCTTCAGTGGTCTCTCAGGCACTTGATATGAATATTGCACTATGTTGCGTCGGTGATGATGGCGATACCGTTTTAATATCCGTGTCGGAGGTCACTACTATCCAGCACCTTTTAGACTTGTGTGTATTTTTTGCATCGCTTTCAAACAGGGAGCTCGATGTAGAGCAATTGGCAGAGCAATTTCAGGCGTATCGAGCCATCGATCCCTCGTCTTTACAGAAGAGACCAAAGTTTTTGCAGTCACAAGAGTTTTTGTGTTTCCATTCAGAACAGGCATTCACTAGGTTTCTATTTTCTCTCGCAAAAAAGGATATCTCGCTTGTTGACAATATGATTCCGCTCGGATCGTGTACTATGAAGCTGAACCCATGTTCGGCCCTTGCGCCGTTTACTAATCCGCTCTGGAACAACATACATCCACTTGTACCTTTAGAGTGGGCAGGAGCATAAGCCTACATCATACAGGATCTCAAGTCGATTCTGCTATTTCTGACCGGCTTTGCTGACATCACTTTTCAGCCGGCATCTGGTGCCCAAGCAGAATTTACGGCTCTTTCGATGATCAAAAAATACCACGGCAGCCGCAGAAAGACGTTGTGTCTGATACCGGAATCGGCACATGGAACCAACTTTGCCAGTGCCTCGTTGGCTGGGTTTGAGATTCGGAAAATTAAATGTCAATCGGCGACGGGGTCCATCGATATGGACTCGTTGGTAGAGTGCATTTCAAAAGCCGAATTTGAGGATCCAGTCCATGGTCTTGCTAGCAATATTGCATGTATGATGATCACGGTGCCCTCGACATATGGAATTGAGGAGCCCAATTTGAAGCTTATTTGCCAGAAAATCCATGCTGCTGGCGGGATTATGTATTTGGATGGTGCCAACCTTAATGCTTTCTTGGGCATTGCGCGCCCAGCAGACCTCGATATTGACATGATGCACATCAATATGCACAAGACTCTCTCCATTCCTCATGGAGGAGGCGGGCCTGGAATGGGGCCATTGCTTGTAAACGAGAAGATCAGGGATTTCCTACCCACGCACCCTTTTCCCTCCTTTGAAGGTGGGAACTGTTCTTCACTCGGTATTGAGGCCATTTCGGGAGCACCCTATTCGTCTACCTCTCTGCTGATAATCCCATGGATCTACTTGAGGTTATTGGGGTACTATGGGACCAGAAAGTCATCCCAGCATGCCTTGGCAAACGCCAACCACTTGGCAAAGGAATTAGAAAAGAGGGGTTTTAGTGTGCTTTTCAAAAATCCTTTCGGATACGTGGCCCACGAGTTTGTGGCAAGGCCAACGGCATTGTCGACCTTTCCCGTCACACCAACGGACATTGCCAAACGATTGCAAGATTACGGATATCACGCTCCCACTGTGTCGTGTCCAATTTCAGATGCCTTGCTTATTGAGCCGACGGAAAGTGAAAGCATTACAGCTATCAACGAGTTTGCTACCGCCATGGGGAGCATTGCAGCCGAAATCGAGGAGGGACGAATCGAGTTACTCAAGGAATCTCCGCATTCGACATTGTCTGCAATTTCTTTCCATGCCACACCGGTGGGCCGGGTCAACGAGGAGTATGGAGACACCCGCCTCAACTGGGCATGCTGCTGCAAGTAGTTAAATAAAAGTTTTATTTTCACAGAGTATTTTTGTCTTTAAATGCTGGTCAAAATCAAGGTTTGTCGCTCGTTTTACTTAATCCGTAGACGCTCTCGGGAAAGGAGGTAATGTCTGCATCATGCTAATTTTAGATTGAAATCGACATCGAGCCTTATGATAAGGTATGGAATTGCACCTTCCTCAACATAAGATTCTCAAATTGAAGGAAAAAATTGAGGAAAAGGAAAGAATCCCACCTCAGCAGCAAAGGTATGATGTGTCGTCTTTTACCACACAGGTTGATATATGGAGGCAAACAGATGTATATCCCTTCAACGCTTTATCGTAGGAATGATGATAAGATTGCCTCAGATTACCATATTGAGGGGGGCTCCGTATTGCATCTGGTTTTGGCTTTGAGAGGCGGCTAAATTGTAATTAAATTTTAAACAAATCCAATGGTCGCCTCTTCTTTGGCTGCGAGTCCCGCTTCTGCTTGGCGGAAGGAGGCCATGAAAAGGTGCATTGGGATCGAATCCGATGCAGTCCTGCAGCGGTGCATATCCTATGCGGAGTCTCGGCATATGGGCATCGACACGTTTTGCAATAAGTTTGAAGCCTGGGCGTTGTCCCATTTGCACATAGAGTCTTCCATGATGCTCAATTCAAAGTCCGTTGATGACTTTTTATCTTTTGAGACGAACCAGCTTAAAGAAAACGTTGCGTCCAACACGTTGGGTGCTCCAAATCTTTTGAGCGCGTCCTCAAAAATCGCGTCTCCTCTTTCTGTAAGGAGCAAAGGCATGGTTGTAAATTATCCGGTCAATGAAATCAAAAGGACTTCCAGCTTGACCGACGTGCTTGTTTGGCCTGCCAATAGCGACCTTAACAAGATCCATGCGAACATTAATGAAAACATGGAGGCGCCCGAAATCTCCTTGTTGTTTGACACGGACCTGCCCGGGCGATACATGAGAATCGTCTGGCCTCGAGTGGTGAAATGTAGGACGGCCCTGCCATTTAACCATGTATTCTAGGGATAAACAGAAGAATTGAAGAGTTTTCAAACTATTTCACGCTGGCCGAAGGGCATGAGTGGAGCCATCCCGGAATTCCGAGCCATGAGCCGGTTTTTTGCTATGGAAGGCTTGTCTCGGACTCTGATTCTTCGAAATGGAACGAAAAGTCCATTCAATTGGAGTGTTCCAGAGAACTAGGTTCCGGGTGCAGGGTCCATTTAGATTTGATGGATCTCCCTGGGTTTTCCTTCATCCCGGGAGAGGTGAGTCACCAATGCTTTTAATTCGAGGTCGTTGGCTTTAAGGGCATTTCCCTGATTGACGGGTTTTATCCCACCGAGTTGCTGCCTTTAAAGCCTTTGGACAAGCCCGTGTCTACTGTGGGCGATCATTCAGACATGCACTTCAAGGCTTCAAATATCTTTTGTGCTGCTGGTCCGTTTGCCTTGGTGAAAAAATCTGACGATGGGTCCTACACCTTGGACTATGCCCCATTGGAGACCTTGTTTGGGCATATCCGAAATTCAAAGCATGCGTCGTCCTTGGTGCTGCTATTGCTTGGGCCATTTGTCGACTCGGACAGTGTCATTTCAATGGCCCGGAATGTGATTTCATCGCCGTTCCATTCGTTCGAACAGCTGTTTAAAGAAGAGATTTCAATCCGAATTGGGGGCCTGCTGTCATCCAAAAAAAAGATCAAAGTGATCCTTATTCCGAGCCAAAATGATGTCATTCACGACTATGTGTTTCCCCAGGCCGCCCTTTCCAGAGATGTGCTCGCCATCCCAAATGTACTGCTTCACAATTTACCGTTAGGATGTAATTGTGCTTCCAAACCCGTGTTTTTTTTATATCAACGAGTTGGTTGTTGCTACAACCAGTGCGGATATCCTATTTGACATGAGCTGTAATGAAATTTCAAGGTCACAACTTGTTTAAGTTGGTTTAATTTCTTAGGGGTCAAGCAGATGTCGATCGCATGACGAGACTGGTAAGGCATCTTATCCAGCAGCGGAGGTACAATGGTGGCCGATTTTATTGTAGTTTTTATCCGTTATACCCGCCCTCGGTTAATGTTAACTTAGACGTGTGTAGCTCAGGGTATGGCAAGGAGGCCATGCAATCTACACTTCTGTCTTGGAACATAGCTCCAGATCTCCTAATAATACCTTCCGCGCTTAGACATTTTGTAAAAACAGTTGATGATGTTCTTTGTATCAATCCGGGAACGCTTGTTTCAAAAGGCGGGCATAGTACGGGCTCATTTTGCGAAATTTTCGTACAGAAGCTAGGCTTTCCGCTTGTCGACTCCGACATGATCCCACATTTTGCAGATAAGAGAAGCGTCGTGGTTATTAAATCGTTAAACTAGTAAATCCCGATTGGTGGTTGTATCTCATCGGAGATGATGATTGCTTTGTCGCTGGGGACGTCTAGGCCAAGTGCATCATTAGCGATGTTTTGCTATGTGCTCGGAAATCGAATTTCTCATCATCGAAATGGAGCCTTCAAAGTCCAAAAGGGGAAATGGGATAGAGGGAACAATTGATGAACCAATCTTTAGGCATATCGATTGATCAATATACCAAATGCTAAAGAAATACGCAAATGTCAGCACGTACCTTAATAGGACTTCCTCGTTTCCTATTTGTATGGGCTTTCCTGGACCTCTGAACGGAACTGAAAGCAGGGAAAGGATAATGGCAAGTCTAACGATTCTTTCGACAACTGTTGTCGGCGTTTCAAATCCAAGATGATATTGCTTTGGAACGACCATGGATGTCCCAGTTACCTCCACTTGAGATGTTGAAAATTCTGGAAACACAAAGCTGAAATTCTCCTTCTTCATGTGGCTGTCTCGAGAATAGGACGACCGAATGGCAAGAAAATAGTTTTGCACGAGCTCCTTGGCCTCTTCTGCCCAATCAAACGAAACCTGGTGGATTCTGGACAACAAGGAAGAAATGGGCATTAGCAAGGAAAAAAACTCGGAAACATCATAGGATTGATGATACAAGTCAAAAAGAGCATCATTGACCGCTCTCGTTGAGCTTGGATTGACATATTCTATTATCATGTCGAAAGAAGACAGAGCATTTACATACGAAGAGTCGGTTTTGGTATCAAGACTTTGGCGAGCTACATCGGTATGAGCCAACACAGAGCAGCAGCACTGTGGCGATACCAGATGGTCAAATTCAAACGGCAGCCTTTTGGACTTAAAAAGCGGGGAATGAATCCAGAAAATAGAATTTCGGGACAGTTGCATTGCTAAGGGCACTTCCGCGACATGGCTAGTCTTTCCAGAGCCGGCATCGATATATTTCTGCATCGATTGCACAATGCCAGCGTTTGATGCCTCCGTTGAAGACCAGGGGACATTCCACAAGTATTTTCTAAGCCTCATAATGATGTGCTTGATGAAATGGTCCTCCTGGTGGAAAATCAGCAAATGCAGCGGCTTGCCGATCGAAGACGTCAGCGCGCTAACTACGCTAACGAAAAGGAAATAAATGGCATTTTCAAAAATACCTTATGATCAGCGCTAGCCTAAAATGTTGCGGAAAAAATGTGGTGCACAGTCCAAATGAGAATGAACCGGTCCACCGCAAAATGGCGTGTTGGAAACTCGGATTTTGTGGAGCAACTTTTGAATTGCAAAAGTCGTGCAGTGAATAAAAGTATGGAAGCCTGTAGCATGAGGCAACAGGATGAATTTCAATTTCTGCCTTTAGGAAGGGGTAATTCGCTTCCTTGGCGCCAAATAAAAACGCCTCGTCACAAGCCTGCAATGCTGGGGTATTTTTGAAAATGCCATCTGAATATCCAAAAAGACACATCCAATTTCCAACCAGTAAAGACTCGGATTTTACGAGCTCCGTAGAAAAAATCAGCTTGGCAAGCGCAAAAACACCCGGGGTCTTTTCAACAAGCAACATTACAACATTGAAGGCCGAAATGATCCTGGCTGGGATTAGCTCTGTAAGCTGGCCAGAACAGCTTGGACAAAAGTTAGACAACAAAGAAGACCTTGGATCAATCCAAATAAGCCGAGTCGCAGTGTGATAGAAAGACTTGCACTTGGAATTGTGGCATTGAAAGCCCTGATGCAGCAATTGACCCTGTGGCGAGCTGATGGAAAGGATGACTCCCTGAAATTCGGATAATGAACGCGCCACGCTAACGCAAGGCGATAAGGAGCCATTGAGCGGCATCGGCATTTTCCCTTGCACTTTAAAATCGCCAAAAAGCTGCCGCATCGAAAATGTACACAGCATGCAGTTAAAAATAACTTGCTCCATGGAAAGCCAAGAGACGATTTCATTGAAACGGGGTTCCTCTCTATGCTGGGACGACATAAGATTGAAAATATTGGTGTCCAATTCGTCCCAGTCATCAAATTCATGGCTATCCAAATTTGCATCAGCGTTAGGGTTAACGGTAGGAGAATTGAGAAATGGCTTGAAATCAAATAATTCGATTTTTCTATCTAGTATTCGCAAGATGGAATCTTTAAGAGCAACCTTGACGCTATCAAATCCAGCTTTAGACGCAAAAATCATGTTGGCAAACTTTGGAAACCATTTTGCAAAGCAAAACAAATTGATGGAAATCGAAATGTCAAACTTTGCATGCTGAACAAGTCTAGCTTTAGCCAAACTGTTACTTGTCGATTCACTAGGACCGCTGTGTTTTGCGAGATTGATAAGTTGCGAGATGGAAAAGTTAAAACAAGAGTCTATCGGTTCATGGTGATAACGGAGCAGATACGCCTCCAATGTTTGCATTAATTAAAAATACAGACAAAGGGACTCGAACCCTCAACCTTCTGATTCGAAGTCAGACGCGCTTCCATTGCGCTATGCCTGTGATTAGTGTAAACCTACATTATAATACAAGTTAAATTGTATATAATAACCACGAAATTCATTGCTGCCATTTTTACTAGCATGCCTTTAAAAGAAAACGTCGCTAGAAATACCGATACCATCTTGTCCCCCACTCGTCTCAAACTTCCCTCAAAATCAATTAACACAGCATTGCTTGCTCCAACATCGTCGTCGATACCATCCCGCAGTTTACCTGTGCATTCAGATATTGATCGATCTCAAATTTTGTTGTCCCCTCAATTTAAGCATCTAAAATACAAGAAAGACTCGACATGCACTTCATCTTTCTCAAATTTGCTTCCTACAAATCAAATCCAAATTGGGATCAAAACCAATRACGTCTCCTCGCTGGCATCATTTGTAAATCCAAATACAATCAAGGCAAAGCCGACGACGCCACATGTAGTTCCTCAACCACCTGCCCTTCTTTCTTCTAAAAATAAAAGAGCAAAATGGGATACAAAGGCATTTATTAATCTATTTACAAATAGGGGCTACTTGAAGATGCCATGGAGGATGTTAAAATGTACAAAAGAGAGTATTCGAAGCTGACCACTCAATATAAGGAGTCGATTGATAGACGTTTGTTTAGATTTTAATGCCGGTAGTGAATGAATTGGAATCAATAGCTTCGTCGTTAGAAAGTGCCGTTAAAGGAACCACTTCGGAAAAGCTAACTTTGAGAGAAAAATTGGAGCTAATGGAAAAATCGCTCACTGTAAAAGAGGATCCCTAACGCTTCTAGATGAATGAAAAAGAATATGGTGCACGCATTTCAAAGATAACAGCCGATTATGATGAAAGGCTATCATCTGCAAAGGAAACGAACTTCAATTTATCAAGGTCATTGGAACTTTCGCGGAAAGAGCTAGAAATGTGTAATTCTGAAATTGCCAAGCTCAATGCCACCATTGAAGCGCAAAAGTCGACTCTTTCCATCTTTGAGGGTGCAAAACTCTCGCTCGATCGCATTATATCTGTACGCTTCCATATTTATTCACATTTTAGGAGTACCAGAGAAAGGAAAAAGATTCCGAGTCCACGATTTCTCAGCTTAGTCAAGAAGTTGCCGCATTGAGGAAACTGGCCGAGGAATTAAAGACAGATGCAATAGAGGGGGAAAAACTAAGGAAGCGGCTTCATAATGAGGTGCAGGTACCATGACATTGCTCTCATTTTGAGGAATTAAAAGGAAACATCCGTGTATTTTGCCGTGTCCGGCCTCCTTTGCCCAGTATTTGTTTTCTTTTAAACATAGCTTCTGATGGTGTTGAGGAGTCCGCTTTACGTCCATGTGAGCAAGAGGTTGGAAACACTCAAATATCCTTCTCCTCGGATCCCCTGTCTAGAACGGAAGGAATTGAGCTTTCACAATGGATGGTATTTCGCTTTTTTTATGGTAGGATTCAACGTCGGGATGTGTAAAGCCACAATTGAAAAGCTACCCGTTTACTTTTGATCGTGTATTTAGCCCTACCTCAACGCAGGCTGATGTATTTGAAGATATTTCGCAGCTTGTTCAAAGCGTTCTAGACGGATATAGGGTCTGTATTTTCGCCTATGGACAGACAGGGTCTGGAAAGACCTATACAATGGAAGGCCCTTCTGGCAAGCATGACCCTTCCTTTTCTGGAATGATTCCAAGAGCAGTTGCTCAGATTTTTGAAACATCCCATAATTTGGGGGTTAAAAATGGATGGAAATTCCAGTTGGAAGCCTCTTTTTTGGAAATTTATAACGAAACTATCAAAGATCTGTTGGCGACTCCTAAAAGCATTGCTGGCTGTGTTGAAGAGCTAAAGAAGCTCGAGATTAAGCATAACCCCACAACAGGCAAGACATCTGTTTCGGAGCTAACAATCGGTACGATTGGGGCAAATATTTTACCGGCTTTAGTTCCTGTAACTTCGATTTCACAAGTTAATCGGCTTTTGAAAGAGGCATCGGAAAATCGGTCGATTGGAGAAACCAGGTGCAATGAAAGATCCTCACGAAGCCACAGGTATTTTTTGCGGTTTTATTGAAGCGTATTTACTCTGTCTGTGGCTGGGGAAAACCCAGATACCGGTGAAAAGATTGAGGGGCTGCTAAATCTGATCGATTTGGCCGGATCTGAAAGATTGTCCTCGTCGGGGGCAACTGGAGACCGGCTCAAAGAGACCCAAGCTATCAATAAGAGTCTCTCTGCCCTTGGTGACGTGATCATGGCACTTGGTAGGGCGAGCTTTTTTATCATGTAGCAAATAAGGAATCTCATATTCCGTATAGAAATTCCAAATTGACCTATCTATTGCAAAACTCGTTAGGAGGAAATTCCAAGACCCTGATGTTTGTAAACCTCTCTCCTTCAAAGGAATCGTTCGGCGAGAGTCTCTGTTCACTTCGATTTGCAGCAAAGGTACTAGCTTTTGAAACTTGTAACATTATGTAGGTAAATTCTTGCCATATCGGGACCGCAAGAAAGAATTTGGCGAAATAAAAAATTGCCAAAGTTGTAACCAAACTGCTAGCTGTAGCCAAATTGCTAGCTGTAGCCAAATTGCTAGCTGTA